TCCCATATCATATTATCATGTCTCATCATCATGTCTCATTATCATATCACCCTATCACATTATCATATTATCACTTCATATTCACAATTTTCACAAAGTACTTTAATTCATATAAAAACATTAATTTTCAAAATTAACCACATACTCATGCATCACATTCAACAAGGAACACAACAAAACAATCAGAAGGTAAAACAGAAAACATTCATATTTTGTCCGTTTTCTCATAGGGTTTCACGTAGGAACCCACAGAAATCTCAAATCATACAATTACAATTTTAAAACTGAAACTAATCATTCATTCAAGCATTTTATACAATTAATTACATACAAGAGGAACAATAGATGAAATATATACAATTGGGGAAAACCCCTCATACATGAACATACAACAAACACAGGATTGGAGGCCAATCCCACTACACAACATACATTCCAACACCCAGAGCAAGATTTCTCACTCCCCCTTACCTGGATGAGCAGAAGACGAATGGTCTTGGTGTGATCTAAGGTCGTTCTTGAGTACTCTTTTTCAGGCTCTTTGTTTCTCCTCTTTTTTTCCCTAACCCTTCAAAACGCAAATGAGGCAGATAGGGTTAACGCTACCTGATTCCTCTCTTAAAATTAATCCATTGGGCTGGGTCAACCTAACCCATTTTCCTTTTCTTCTAACTCACTTCTCTTTTTTCTCAAAATAATTAAATAAAATAAATACATGTATATTATAAAATATTTTTCCTCTATAATAATAATAATATATTTCTGACCCCAAAATATAATAATATAATATCAATAACAAAATATCATATAAAATCAACATTCTCTTAAAACATATAAATATTTATTTAAAAAATACTAATAAAAATACTTATTTAATACGTACAAAATAATTGTCCAAAACAATAGTTATTTAAAACGTACAAAATAATATTTTTCTATAATTATTAAAATAATTATGACAAAATACCATATAATAATAATAATAATAATAATAATAATAATAACCTATTTGAAAATTGGGGTATTACACGTGACGACGACACATTGGTCAATGTGTTTGCATATAATGTCTATTGAGATGTGTTCATGTGCATTTGATGTCATTTAGAGACATGACTGGGTGAGGTACATGTTGGTTTGCAACAAATTTTTTTCTTCAAAATATAAATTTTTTTTTATAATTATAAAAATGATTATTTATTATGTTAATATAAGAAATATAATTAAACATAGTTTCACATAAAAAAATATTAATATTTTTTAATATTCAAAAAATTTCACTCAAGATTTTCATTCAAAATAATATTCTTATAAAATAAAAGGAATAACATATTAATATAGTAAATCGTTACAACATCATAAAAATTAATTATTAATTATTTCAGTTTTAAAATAAATATAAATAAAAATTCACATTATTATTTTTTTCAATAGTAATTAAGAGTAGTGGTTTGGTCGGTTTGTTTTTATTTTGGGCTAAATTTTATCATGAAGCCCAAATAAACATGTTTTTTTTTAGGGTAACATAGAGTTATTATCTACCCTTTTTCCGTGTCCCTCAAGTATTTTTTGTAGCTCACATCCAAAAAATATAAACTGAATGCTATTAGGCTGGATGATGTTTTCTTTCTTATTGGTTGACGATTTTGTGGGGAAAATATTGTGAACGAAAAAAATAAAAAACTTTTCCTTAGTTTGTTTGTTTTTTTTTTTTATATATATAATTTATTTCTTCTTTTTATATATAAAATTTAACACAGAAAGTTGTTCATATTGGAAACCAAAAAAAAAAAAAACTTGCCCCTTAGTTTGTTTATTGAATTTTTGACACTCGAGTGTCAATGAAATCCTCACCAGAAACTTGTTCATGTTGTGTAGTTAATTTGAAATGAAAAATTCCGAAAAATTATTCCGAAACTTCATCCGAATTAATAAAAAAACAGATTTAAACAATAAAATATAAAATTAAATAATTATTTTAGAAAAAAATATTCAAAAATATTAATATTTTAATTATTCAGACGCTGATTCGATATTTCGTTCGAATTATATAGCATTGCTCATTTGAAATACAAGTTGCCTATTTTAAAAAAGTTACCTTTTAAGTTGTAAAAAAAATAATATGAAACTCGTACTTATGATAAACTTACTCTTATTAATAATATACTAATAACACTCATATGCCAATAATACTAATTAACTTTAATACAAATTACCTTATTCAATAAAATTAATTTAATTACTATATACGTTGACATTTTTTTATTATAGTTGAATTCATTGTAGTGCAAATTATTGTTTTTAATAATAATAATAATACGATTAATTATGATAATAATTATCTTTGTAATAATAGTCGAATTTTTGTTTATATATTTTTTAGTAAAAGTATTGAGCGATATAATGTTCGGTATAAGATATAGCGATATAATACTTTTATGGTATATATAAAAAAAGATTAAACAATATCAATGTAACTTTTAACAATTGTTATATCGTTTAGTAATTTTATATTATATATATATGTGTGTGAATTTTGTCAATCAAACAATTGAGTTATAATTTCATATCGTATTTTATATTTATGTAAAATTTTGTTAATATATACATGTGTGTATCCATAATTTTGATGAAGAGGAATCAAATTACATGTGTCTAATTTGTATAAACTATTATATCAGTTGATAACTTTTAATTTAATGATATTTTCTCAAAATTTACTTAATATATTTTACCTATATAATATATTAATTTAAAATTATCTAATGTCACACTTATATAACTTAAAATTGATGTAACATGTATTTTTAAAAATTACTAAAATATAAGTAACTTTATTACCTTTTTATTATTGTTGAATTTTAACAAAACTTGACATAAACATTCAGGATAATATAAAAGTTAAAATTGAATCGTTGGATCTGTAATAATCTCTACCCTTTAGTTAATACATATAATAAATAAAATTTAAAATAAAAATCATCATATAAAATAATAATAAAAAGAATAAAACATGCCTCAAAATAAAATAAAATGGGTTAATGAAACATTTCTCCAAAGTTATTTTAAAATAAAATGCCAAAAGACAAACATATATGAGACAAAAAAATTAGTTAGACTCTCAACAAGACAATACAAGTCCTAAATAAAACTAGACAAAGATCTCCAAAATAAAAAATATAAATCTAAAAGAAATAGCTTAGAACATTTTTGTAAGGTCTATCATGAAAATTGAAAGGTGGATTCTATTAGGCCCAATGTCATATCCATCATCAAAGGAAAACACTCAAAAACATTTTTAGAGAAAACTTATAAACTCTCTCATATGATATAATTTTATCGTGTTTAATATGTAAGAGTGTGTTTTGGTCATTTATCTTTCAAGTTTGAATCAATTTATGATATATATGTATAATCATTTGTATACGTCTCAATTTTTATATACGAAAAAGTATGTATCTAAGTACATTTAAATAAATGAACGTTTACCTCTCACAAACATCAAAATAAACACACAATTAATCTTTCTAAAATATTGAATTTTCAATTTTGTGATAAATTTTAATTTAATATTTTTATTCAAAATTAAATTTATTTCATTAAACTCATTTATATGAAAATCATCCATTACAACTAACATTTGAACAAAAAATAGTTGTCCAAAATAAGATAAAAAAAATCAAATATGGGTTCAAATATGTTTTGAATTTGATATAAAATTCATATAAATAAATTTAATAAAAACAAATTTTACGTCTTAAATGAAAAAAAAAATGCTCCAAAATTATATAAAAAATTGTCGTTTTAAAAGAGATAAATCGATTCAACTTTAAAAGAAAAAAAATTAAAATAAGTAGCATAAAAATAAAGAATAAAATAATTTTTTAAAAATAAAATAAAAGAAAAAAAAATATAGTTTAAGCTAATTTTTAGTTATATAAAATAAAATTGTAATTGTTGTTTGTTGGGAGAAAGGGAATATACTATTAATATACGAGTATTTAATTTATTTAGTTTTACCACAAGTTCAAAACTAGGTCCACCGAGGAAAAGCAGGAGCAGCGAAACACCCATCCACAAGGCCAAGGGTTTGTTCGATCATCCACTCTCACCACCCCCAAACACACAAACACGAAATCAATCAATCACACATCGCCCAACCCTAAATGCCTCGCGACACACTGCTCTAGCTCCTCACACTCACTCCCGCCATGGCTCTCTCACTCGGCAAGCTCACCATTCTCGTCGGTGCAGGTTCACACTCTCCTCCTTTTTATTTCAATTATTTTATGCCGCCGCAATTTAGGTTTTCTTTTTCTTTCCACGGAACAAGAATTTTGCATTCCTAGGGTTATCGTGTTGCGTTTATGTGAATACTGTCGTATTGGAGACGTTTTCCATTGGTGTCGCTAGGATTAGAAAGAACGGTCAATTCTTTGCTGAAATTCGTTTGCGTTTTAGGTATTGTCGGTTCAGTGATTGCAAAAGAAGGGACTCTGCCGGATGTCTCTGGTCTCGTTTCCGGTGCTTTTAAGGTTGGTTTTTGAGAGCTCAACTTATTGTTCTCGGTGCTGCTGATTCTGAGTGTTGCTTATGATTTTCTTAATTTTTTCCCTTGTGTTCTTTCGTCAATGTGATTTAGGAATTCGTCTTGTTTCATATATCAGATTCAATTATCCTTGTTTTGTTAGTTTCCGAAGTGGTATGATTGAGATGCTGATTAAAATAAAAGAAGTTCAAGGGAATATAGTCTGTACTAACACCGTAGCTATGTTGTGTGGAACTGTGTGGGAGAGGTTTTAATTGGTATCATATAGGGGCACAACCATGACGAAGTTTATAGACTTAAGGTACGGGCATGAGCATGGGGGATTGTAATTCAAAAATTTAATTATATAAAAAATACTTAATATCATGTCATAATGCTCTAACTCATGTGATAGGCTCAGGCAGAAATGCTGAACTTTAGAAGATGTTGAAGGAGATGACCATCTTAGAAATCATTTTTATTGTAATGAAGAAATCTGTAAATCTGTGAGAAACCGATAGGAAGAAATAAGAGTAACTGGCTACATAATCAATCACCAGCTGAATTATAGATGCATTATGATTCATCATGATTTTTCCAACTGTGTAATCCTGTATAACCATATATCTTACTTAGAGCTGGCAAAGTGGGCTTGGCCTGGTGAGCCAACCCGGCCCACCATGGGTTCGAGTCGGGTTGGGTTGAAAAAAAATTGAAAATTTCAATACAAGTCAATTTTGAACCTGACTCACTAACAACCCGGCTCATCCGGGTTGAACCCGTGGTGAGTCGGGCTGGCCCACCAACCCATGATTAAAAAAATACAAAAAAAATACAATAATTATTGGGCCATGGTGCAACCCAACATGAGACAATAATGATTTAATGTTGGATTGTGATTTGTAATTTTTATGATTTTGGATTGTATTTGAAGTTTAAGATGATTTTGAATTATATTTATCTATTTGAGATTATTTAGATTTGATTTGATTGTATTTAAAATTATCATTTAATGTTTGGGATGAATGATTCATTTATGGATGTCTTAATTAAGAATCTCAGATTTTTAAAATAGGTTTGAGTTTTTGGGCTTTAGTTGTATATTAAAAACAAAAGATGAAAAAAAAATATTATTTTTTAGGTGAGCCAACCCTTTTAACCCACCAACCCATGGTGGGCTGGGCCGAGTTCGATTTTTTTGAGTTCACTAATAAATGAGCCGGGTTGGGTTGGTCCACCAAATGGTTAACCCATGGTGGGCCGGGTCGGGTGACCCATTTTAACAGTTCTAATTTACTATGATACACGAGATGCTAATTAAAGTTTATATCTCTAAACAATTGCCTGTACCTCCTGATTTTCTTTGTTATGAGCTGGAGAAGTTCAGATCTCTGCCTATGCCCATGCTAATGAGCATAAAAGAGTGAAGCTATCCACGAGCTATGCAAGCTCAACTCGTTAAACAATTGATCAAGCTTGTCTGCTTAACTCAACAAACAAGCTCAAGCTTGTACTTAGGTTTGATAATATAATCGATAATATTAATGAACTAAGCTTAGGCTTTACTAACCTTGTTAAGATCTCGCAAATAGCTTGCGTGTGTGTATGTTTGTTATATCAAATATTTTATTCTCGTGGAATCAAATATAGGGCATTTTTAAGGGAGTTAATATAATAATAAGTTGAATGACGTTATTTCAGTATCGTGGCAATGTATTGAGCTTTAAGGATAGTGAATGTTGGTTAGTAAAGTGTACAGTTAGCAAGGAGAAAAAAGAGAGTAGGTGAGATAAGAGCACCGAGGTAGATGAGGAAGGTGATAATATGAACTCAAGTTTTTGAGAGACAATTGGAGTAGCATACATTAAGGAGAGGGTGATGGAAGCTTTCCTAAGATAGTCTATTCATGTGAGAAGACCAACAGCGGCTCTAGTCTAGTGATAAAAATGGATCAAATGAAACTTATGGAAGATAGTTTGATATAAACATGCAGATGAAGACCTAGAAATTATTAGGAGAAAGACTATTAAAAATGGTAAAACAACATTGTTCTAACTAGTTTTACTAAAAATTATTTTATATATTTGATTGGGTCCAATTTCCATTAATATAGTGAGTATATAGTAACTGTCATTCATTCTTGGAAGTTAAGTATGCATGTTCTTTACTGATTCTAGACTTTTTTGCCAGGTTATTTTGAAGCAAATTAAAAACAATGATCCTGCTCCAACTGTTAAAAAGCAGCCACATAATGATGCTTTGTTGGCTCAGGTCTGCATGTTGTTTCCTTTTCATCATTGATTATACTTAGTTTTAATTAGGGATAACTCTTTGTTTAGTTAAGGTTATTCTCATGCATCATGCCGAACATCATTTAGTGAATCCTATACATGACTCGAGTTCTGAGCATATATGCATATATGGTTTTGTACTCATATGTGTCTTGTTCATTACAACTGAAATTGTATTTTGAAAATATGTTCTATATATGTAAATGTGCATAATGTAAATGCTAACATTAACACTGTACTTTTTTGAGAACTCAAATTAGCTTCAGTGTATGTTTCAAAATAGAACCATCTTAACTCTACAGAAGTACTATGATTGATAGCATTGATTCTGTTACACCATTCTGAAGTAGGTTGTCATCTGGTATTTCATAAACTTTTGCTTAGTGGAAACATAGAGCATCATATAAGTGAATTGGCTACTAAAACAAATGGTATATTTGTAAAATATATAGCAATAAGAGCGTAATTGAAAATGCTGATTAACCGTTGATTTGCAGGTAAGCAGCCTTCGGCAGGAACTGCAACTTCTTGCTCGAGATAGATCTATCACTATTGTAAATGCAACTGGAACAGGTACTTGTTAACTACTTTTTTTTAATTTTTAATTTTATTTTTATACACATTATAGTGGCCTTTTGTTATTTCTTCAGCAATTTATAATCTGACATGTTGTTTTGCAAACCCTGTGATCACTGGTTTTAATTATGGGGTGTCTCCATACATTGCCCAAGCTAACCAATGTTTCCTTATTTTTTACTTGTATTGTTTTCTAACTTGTTTGGGTAATGGACAGGTGGAACAAAATATGTAACAGTGATTGTTATTGTCGTGGTAGGATATGGATACGTTTGGTGGAAGGTAATGTCTTTTTTGATATATTTTTAAAATTTTGATTATGATTTTTTCATATGGCATTCATGTTTGAGTTGTTGCAGTTGCTTTTTGTACAGATAAATTGATATAGTATTCAGTTAAACATATCCAAAGCACAAAATACATTTAATCATATTTTTCTGAGAGTTTGCTTTACTGGTTTCGTTTGAGCTCAACTCATTGTTACTGATATATTTCCACATAATTTGGAGACAGAATAATTATGCTTTGCATACTGTCTGATGATTATTAGTTGGAAGGTTTGCAAGGAGTGAAAATCCAGGAATTTTAGTTTATGACTCTTGTGTCTTTGCAGGGATGGAAGCTTCCTGATATGATGTTTGCAACAAGGCGTGGTTTATCTGATGCTTGTACATCTATTGGTAATCAGATGGGAAAGCTTTATGAATCGATTGCGGTAATTTTTCCTTTTTTATCATATAGGTTGTGTCAAAACCAGTCATTTTCTGTTAGAGATCACAATTAATGACAAGTATCTGTTGGCTAGAGTTTAGCTATATAACAGAATGTCAAGGAGCTAATCAGTTTATATTTTCTATAATACAATTATGTATTATTTATTCTGATGTTTTTGAACTAGAAAGTATACATAACATATGAAATTGATATGGATCTTAGTTTGTTCAATTTCTATATATTTAGCTCATGTGTGGTTCCCCTGAAGCATCAGAAGTGTGTGTTATGACAATTGTGTCCTTTCTCCTTTGTGGGACATTTTTCAATGACAATATGATTTTTTATGAGCAATGTTGGTAGTAAATCTGTCCAACTTTAATTTGACACTGAGAGAAGAAATGCTACTTAATTGAGTTCACTCTCTTTTTTATGACTGTATTCAAATAATCTTTGAGCTTGATTTCTCCTTAAAGCCTTTTTAAGCTAATATTATTCATGTAAATATTTCGTGACCATGTTAAGTGCATAACTTGCATTTATCGTTTTCATTGTGAAAAACTGATAACTGGTATGGTTCCATCATCAAGCAAAACTTTCCAATTTTTCAAACAAAATTTTGAAAAAGGATTTTTGTGTTCTATAAAAGATGTTGCTTTTAAAGTTTGCATTCTGCTCAGTTAACCTTTCTTTCTCTGGACATTAAGAATAACACTGAGTTGTTTTACCATAGAATAATTGAGAATGAATATTTACTTAACTGAAACAATTTCAGGATACCAAGAAAAAGTTATCTGCAAGAATGAATCGTTTGGATAAAAGTTTAGATGAATGTGCTGCCCTTTCTGAAAGTACAAGGGAGGAGGTGAGTAAAGATTTTATATTTTGTTGTCTTTTTTATTGTTTAAAAATAGAATATCTCCTGTCACAGGTATCTGTAATTCAACAAGAAGCAGATACGATAAGTGGAGATTTCAAGTCTGTTCGTGTTGCAGTCCATGTTCTGGTAAATCAATTGCATGGACTCAGTTATTTCTTTAATTTCTTTTGTTCAGTGTTTAACTTAAGCTTGATTACTTTGCTTCTCAGGAATCTAAAATTAAAGAAATAGAAGAGAAGCAGGTATAGTCAATTTGATTTTAGGCACCACAAAATTTAATTGTAAACATTTTTTTTGAGGTTTTCAACTTTGTTTATATCTGTGCTGACTTAAATATGTGTAGGTGGCCACAACGGAAGGAGTAAACATGTTGTGTCAATTTACCAAGACTATGGAGAATAGCAAACCCACAGAGTATATTCAGGCATGAACCAAAGTTTTGTTACAATGTACCTTTTTGTGTTTTCTGGATTGGGTTGGCTTTGCAGTCTGACTTTCAGATCTGTCTTTGGTTATCTTTTTTTTATTTTTTTATTTGTTATATAATTTACCAACACATTTTTTTTTAATTATATAGGCATCTTCATCCAGGCAAGCCCTTGAGCTACCACCAGTTTCACCCCCTTCTAGGGTAAGCATTTTCCCCCACTACCATTTATCAGTGCAAAACTGCAAATTATGCCTCTTGGGCAAATTGATATTATTAATTAGAAATTTAGAAATAGACATAATTGTACATTTTAGTCAAAATAGTATATATTATTGTAACTTCCTAAGCCAAACGATGATTGCACTTGTCAAGTTTGGTTTTACACTGTACGCTCTACTCCCACCAGAAAAAAAGGTTTTCCCTTGTTTTCTTTGTGATTGTGCCCATGTTTACTCTGTTATCTGAATTATACAGGGGTCGCAGTCAGGTTCCTCTAGGCTATCTCTTGAGCCACCATCCACGACTCCATCATCAAGGGTAACTTCTATATGTATATGTGCTAGTCTGTTAATGATTATATTTCCTGGACGTGCATGGTCATAGTGTCTTCATTCCATCCTATTTTCAATCTTTACCCTTTTCACTTACTCGACCAAGCAAACTCTGAACCTAGTAATGCAATTGGAAGGGTGAAGCTGGAGTTCTGCATCAAGAATCAGAAAATCATGTATAGCCAAATTGTGGGGTTATAAGAACATTTGTTCATCCACACTTGTTCTTATGAAGACTTTACCATCCCGCCCCCTCATTAAAAATCTTCTAGCCAAGGGTGTGTCCCTTTTTTCTTCCCCTTCAAAATCTTCTAGCCAAGGGTGTGTCCCTTTTTTCTTCCCTTTCTTTTCCCCCTCCATACGTCTCATCCAAACCCATCATAAATGATATGAAGCCTTTGTAACTGTGCTTAATTTTTAATTGAAAGATTCTACTGCAGTCTCACTATTGTGTGCAGATTATTAGATCTTACTGATGACCACTTGTTTTCTTAACAGACTGGATCTTTGCCACCGAAATTGTCAACTGATCCACCATCTCCATCCAATTCTAGTGGATCTTACCAGGTTTGTAATATTTCTTATTTGCTAAATTCAGATTAATTTAGAGTGAAAAGGAATGATTATTTTTAACATATCTCATTTAGAGATGCTTGACTGTGGCTAACAATTGACCAGTCTATATTCGGTGTTTGTGAAATGAAATATTTTCCTTACAAAACCCATTTATATTTTCATTGACGTGATCTTTTTTCAAGAAATAAAAAATCTTTTCCATTTGGTATGAATGGTCTCTGTAGTTGTAATTTGAATTTTTATTTGGTCTATTTTATTGTCTGTGTAAATCATCTCATATATTTGTTTGACCTTGTTATGTTCGGGCATCTCTGTTTTCAGGAGAGTATTCAGGTGAATTCGAAAAGCATTTCACCTAAAGAAGACAAAAGCAATGGATCTAGTTCTGGGTTGTTTGGGCTGAGGTTACCTAACGTCTATGCCCCATTTCTGACAAGAACTCGCAGTGCGACAGATGCAGTAGTACAGCAAACTCGTTCGACTAGTTAACAGTGGTGGGTCTCTTTTTCCTTTTCTGGTCCACAGTAAAAATTATAGATAATTGGTGATTGTTCAGAAGATGTACGCACCATCAATTATAGTTTGCATGCCCTAGCCAGATTAGAAACGACTGGGCAGTGAATTTTGCAGAGATGCTGTTTTTCTCGAGTTTCATTAGGATTTAATTAAAATAAAAATTACTCCAATATTCAACTGCGAAAGCTGGTAAAGGAAAGAGGGGCTAT